AGTATTTGGACTTTCTAATTCCTCAGAATTTGGGCATTTTATTTTCCAGTATCTGGGCATTCTTATTCCCTGATATTTGGACATCCTTATTCCTCAGTCTTTGGATATCCCTCAATTCCCCAGGATTTGGACACCCTAATTCCTCAGTATTTGGGCATCTTTATTTTCCAGTATTTGGACATCCTTATTCCTAAATATCTGGGCATCTTCATCCTTCAGTATTTGAACATTCTTATTCCTCAAAATTTGGACATCTTTGTTGCCAAGTATTTGGAAATAAGTATCCTTATTTCCTAAATATCTGAGAATCTGTATTTCTCTCTGTATGGGCTTTCTTATCCCTCAGTATCCTTCAGTATTTGAACGTTCTTATTCAATTTCTCAAAATTTGGATATCTTTGTTCCCAAGTATTTGGGCATTTGTATTTCCCAAATATCTGGGAATTTGTATTGTATTTGTATGGGCTTTCTTATCCCTCAGTATCTGAGTATCTTTCCCTGATATTTGGGAAGCCCTGAATTCTCCAATATTTGGGCATTCTTTGGGAAATTTTTGGGAAAGCTGGAATGAGCAGACCAAGAGCTGGCACCAGGGATCAGGGATGTGCCTCGCTGTTTGTTCACCTAAATCCCAATTTTTGGTGCCTCTTCAGGCTGGGTGCTGCTGGTGACAGAAAAAAAAAGTCATTCAAAGGTACCCAAAGCTCTTCATTCAGCAGAGAGCAACAAATGAGGTGGGTTTGGAGCTTAGGGACCAGCTAGCAAAAACCAGCAGCAAAATTTTCATGTCCAGACGTTTATTTCCAGCATCTTTCCTGGAATCCCAGAATGGGTTGGGTTGGAATGGACCTTAAATCCCACCCCAGTGCCACCCCTGCCATGGCAGGGACACCTCCCACTGTTCCAGGTTGCTCCAAGTCCTGTCCAGCCTGGCCTTGGACACAAAGCTCAGCTCAGTGTCAGGCTCAGCTTTCCTGGGAAATCTGTGCCAGGGTCTCACCACCCTCACAGGGAAGAGATTTAAGCCAAGCCAAGCTGTGGAGCATCCTCCTCTCCTCCAACCCCCAGCTCATCTTTACTCATTGCAGGCAAGCAAGCAAAACCCTGGAAAGTGTCCTCAGTTCCAAGGAAAAATGCCAAAATATTTGAGCATGTCATTTAGAGGGAAGTTTATTTTCCAGGCATTGCATTTCCAGGCAGCGACCTCCCTCCCTGGGCCAGCACAGGGATGGGAACTTCCAGAGGCAGGGCTGGAGATGTGGGGGATGCAGGGAGAATGCCTGACCCCATTTGGGGAATCTGGGAATTCCCAGCCTGCTGGCAGCACTTGGATACAGGTCAGAGGAGCTGTGCCAGCATCAGCCCAATTCATCTCCAGGTCCCCTCCATCAGAGCTCAGCTCCTGGCCTTAGGCAGCAAAATTCCTTTGGATTTGAAATTTTTGTTTATATTTTTTATTTTATATTTCTACATAAAATAGATTATATCTATATAAATATATCTGTATAGCTATGTAGCTATAAAATAGATTTTACATATATATAATAATTTTATGTTTTATATTATATATATTATATATTATATATTATATATTATATATTATATATTATATATTATATATTATATATTATATATTATATTATATATGTAATATACATTATATATAATATATAATATATTATATATTATATATTTATAATTTTATAAATGATATATTATAATTTTATGTTTTATATTATTTTATATATTATATTATAGATAAATATAAAAATATATTTAATTTTTATCTTTTCTTTTTTATATTTATATTTTCCTTTATTAAATTTACATTTACATGTATATTTATATGGTATTTTTATTTTATTTTATTAATTAATTTATTTACTTAAATTTTTATTTCCTGGTCTTCCCATTACCACAGGGCTGCTCTCACACCCTCTGCAGTTGTGCTGAGCTTATTTTTATTTTTTAATATTTTTTTTTAATTTTAATTTTATTTTTATTTATTTATATTTCATTTCCTGGCCTTCCCATTATCACAGGGTTGCTCTCACACCCTCTGCGGTTGTGCTGAGCTTATTTTTATTTTTAAATTTAATTTTTTTTTAAATTTAATTCTATTTTTATTTATTTTTATTTCATTTCCTGGTCTTCCCATTATCACAGGGTTGCTCTCACACCCACTCAGTGCTGTTGTGCTGAGCTTTGCCTGCAACGAGAGGAGTTTTATGGCACTCCCAAGGGAATTCAGGCAGTGCCTTATTTCCCTCACTTAATGGCACGTGTGTGCCTGGATAATGGGATTCCTGCCTTGGAGCCCACAGGTTAATGAGTCCTTCCTCATTATTTTCATGCTAATGATGTTTTACAGGGCCAGGACATGGATGGTGTCTCTTTTGGGCTCTGCACTGTAATCACAGCTCAGGATCTTGCTGGCTTGTTTTGATGTTTGTCTGTAGTGCAGAGGGGCCTTGGGTTATTTACTGTGTGTGGAAAGGGCTGGGTTTGTTCAAAGGGGTGCAAAAAGCTGGAGAGGGACTTTGGACAAGGGATGGAGGGACAGGACCCAGGGCATGGCGGGGTTGGGTGGGATTTTGGGAAGGAATATGAGGGTGGGGAGAGGCTGGCACAGGGTGCCCAGAGCAGCTGTGGCTGCCCCTGGATCCCTGGCAGTGCCCAAGGCCAGGCTGGACAGGGCTTGGAGCACCCTGGGACAGTGGGAGGTGTCCCTGCCATGGCAGAGGTGGGATGAGATGAGATGGGATTTAAGGTGCCTTACAACCCAATTCCATCTCTCTATGATACATCCAATCCAAACAAAAACACCCGTGGAATTTTGGGATTCCACACCTTCCTGGGGGTGCACTGGGGTCTCCTCTCTGGGATTTAGGAGCTGCTTTAGTGCTGCAGCAGCTCCCCCAGGGCTGTTGTCCAGGGTGGGACATTCACCAGCTCACTTTGAAGTGTCACCTGCTGCTTTTTTTGTTGTTATTTGTGGTGGAGGAAACACCCCATGTTTCCCCAGGGGTGGAAATGCTCTAAAACCGTCACTGGCCCCAAAATGGTTCTCATTTCTACTTGAAGCACCTGCAGAGTGGCTGAGCCTGGCCCAGGGTGTGGTGGCTCCTGGGAGGCTCCTCTGAGTTGCCCCAAAGTCCCCAACATTGTCCCAACAGGCCAGTGCTCCTCTCAGGAGGGTCCCATCCTTCCCTCCCCTTATTTTTGGGGCTGTTTTCCCCATTTCAGTGTCCCTAGGGCTGGCTGTAGTAAGAGCAAGGGAGGGTTTCCTTGCAGGAGGGTGGCAGCAGGGTTGGATATACAGAATTATTTCAAGGATCAGGGCTGTAACAGGCATACAGATGCCCTCAGCAGCCCTCCCTGCTCCCATGGGTCCTAAACAGGGATAGGATTGTGATTCCCTGTCACTGGAGCAGATCCTTTCACAGAATTCACAGAATCACTGGGTTGGGAGAGACCTTCAAGATCATTGGGTCCAACCCAGCCCCAACAGCTCAACTCAACCCTGGCACCCAGTGCCACATCCAGGCTTTGTTAAACACACCCAGGGATGGGGACTCCACCACCTCCCCGGGCAGAACATTCCAGAACTTTATCACCCTTTCTGTAAAAAAACCTTTTTCCTAATATCCAACCTAAATTTCACTTGGTGCAGCTTAAGACCTTGTATGAAAGGGCACAACATGGAATTGTTTAGGCTGGAAAAGCCCTCCACTAACCTGTGTCCCCAAGTGCCACATCCACACACTTTTGGAACCCTTCCAGGGATGACATTTGCTGCCTTGGGAAAGTCTCTGTGGCAGCCAACCCAGTTTTTGGTTGAACCTGCTGCTGTGCCAGAACCATGGCACATTCCATGGTGTGGGAAATAGTGGAGGTAAGAACAGCTTTAGAAAGTTGGGAAAGTAGGTTTTAGAAACAGAAAGAGTGGAGAAATTAGAATTAGTTGTAGTTGTAAAGTTTGAAGGTAGGAAAAAGTTACAATATTATAGTAAGTAAAGTAAATAGTAAATAAGGACCTGAAACAATAGCTTGAGTTTTAGGTTTGGTTTAGATAGACTTTAAGACTCTAGAAAAATATGTTTAGTAAGATAGTAGAAGGTTTTAAGCTTAATAATGGTGTATTGTGCATTTTTAATAGAAGTAAGTTCTATTAAGTAAGAAGTATTTCTTACTTAGAAATAAGTAAGTATTATGTGAAGTATGTGTACCTCTAGTGATTGGTTAGAACAGTTGTTTGCAACTTTGGCAATATGCTGTTGGCTAGAAAGTTTTTAAAATGTTCTGTAACAAAGAAATCTTTGGGGCCTGCTGGTAGGACGTGAGCTTTTGCTATTTTTCTATTGTCTCAGCTATCTAATGTTGAGAAAATGAGGCTGATGTTGTAATAAAATTCCAAGGCACGTCTCTCACTAGTCTCGTTCTGTTTGTGAAAGAGAAAAAACTTCCCCAACACAAATGGTGCCCTGTGAAGCAAAAGATTCATTTTAGAATCCTTTGCAGACCATTCAGTCATCAGTGTTGAGAGCCCCAGATTAAGGAAATCGAAAGAAGAGGGAAATCAAAAGAGAGCTGTGCCCTGCTGCTCAAACCCTTCCCCAGCCACCAAAAAACGAGGGGAGAGGTGAGATGAACAATACATGGGCTGAGCTGAACCTCCAGCCATGGCCTGGGGGAGCAGATCCAGCCAGGAGCTGGGCTGGAGCGTTTTGGCAGCGCTCCCCAGGAGATGCTCCTCCTGTGCACCAGACTGTTCAGCCCATGCCCTGGGCTACTTGCCCATGACTGAAACCTCTTCCTGTGCTGAAAACCTCGCTGAATGCAGACAAAAAATGTCCCTGGGGGCTGGGCTTGCACGGCACAGGGCAGGGGGACACACAGAGGGAACCTGGGGATGTGGCACCCGGTGCCTGTGGGGTCCCTGGTGCCAGGAATGATGGTCCCGTGCAGCTGAGTTTCATTTTCTGTTCTCTTTATTTAAGGGCAGTGAAGGGCCAAGAGCAGCAGAGCTTCCCTTAGAGGCACAGATCAGCGGAGAGATCGGCTTCTGGTAAAAAACAACCCCTCCCTGTGCTCCCCTCCTCATCCTCAAACCTGGCTGGCCCTGGCATGGCTCGTGCTCCAAGCACAGGCACCAGTGCCAGGTTGATTCCTTCTAGAAATCCCATAGATTTATGTGGGATCCCATAAAACCCCATAAAAATATAATATAATATAATATAATATAATATAATATAATATAATATAATATAATATAATATAATATACATCTCTATATATTACAAAATATATAATATTATGTACTATTTAATCTAGTTATAATAGAATATAATATATAACATACTATATATTATACATATTTTATATATTATTAATGTAATCTATTTTATCTAATGTAATATCTAATATAATCTAGTATCTCATATATAATATTATATGTATATTATATTATATTATATAGTATATATTACATATAATATATTATATATTATATATTATATATTATATATTATATATTATATGTAAGATATTAGATATTGAAAATATATAATTAATTCTAATATATAAATAGAATTATATATTAGAATTATATATAGACTATAGAACATAATATGTTCTATATTCTATATATAAATATATTAATATTCTATATTAACATAATATGTTAATATAGAATTAACATATTATGTTATATATATATAATACAATATTATATATTATATTAGGATTAATTATATATTTTTTAATATTTTGTATATATATTTGTGTATATATTTTTATTTTTTTTAAATAATCCCATGAAAATTTTCAGCCCATTTTGAAGCTGGCAGGCTGCCCCAGTCAGGCAGGAGCACTGCTGGAAAACCCTTGCTGCTGCAGGAGCTGGATGCTGGGATTCTGCTGCCTCTGCCAGAGCTCACTGCTGGTAGAAGGTGCTGGAAAAACATCCGGAATCCAGCCTGGAGTGACCTTAATGGGCATCCCCCTCCTGCCTGGGGTAGAAATCTCCAGAAACAGGAAACTCCAGCATCCTGTTTAGCATCTTAATGTGCAAATTGGCAGCAGGGACAAAGGCAGGGAGGCCAAGGGACGCTGGACACACACTGGGCACCGGCAGGGGCTGGAGGATGGGCAGGGAATGAGCCTGGCACAGAAATCCTGTTCCCTGGGGTTTTGTTGCTGTCAGAGGCTGTCATGGAACAGCAAACAGCAAAGCACAGCTCAGCTGGGCTCCTGCTGCTGCAGGCTGGGCTCTGGACAGTCCCAGTGCCACCCCAGCTCTGGGGACACCACTGGCAGCGTGTCCTGGGTTGGCATTTCCCATCCTCACCCCCTCATTTGGATGGCTTTAACCCTCCACACATGCAACCCCAGCCCATCCTTTGGGGGCTGGCATATATAAATTGACATATATTTTTTATATATATATTTTTTAAAAAATCCCATGAAAACCCCATTTTGGAGCTGGCAGGAGCAGCCCAGCAGCTGATCCTGGTGTGTTCCTGCCCACAGCCCATCCCGGGAGCCCTCCTGGCCTGCCCATGGCTAGCAACAACACTGCTAGCATAGCACAGGCCCGCAAGCTGGTGGAGCAGCTGAAGATGGAGGCCAACATCGACAGGATAAAGGTAGGGATTCTTGGGAGATGCCTCTGGGAAGGCTGGGAGGTGGTGGCTGCTGCCCAAAGCTGGTGGAGGGAGATGGGATGTGGAGCCAGGGGGTGTTTGTGGGGGATGCCCTTGTTTGAAGTAGACCATTCAGTCATCAGTGTTAAGAGCCCCAGATTAAGGAAATCAAAAGAAGAGGGAAATTGAAAGAGAGCTGTGCTCTGCTGCTCAAACCCTTCCCCAGCCACCAAAAAAAGAGGGGAGAGGTGAGATAAAACACAGGCTGAGCCGAATCTCCAGCCATGGCCCTGGGGGAGCAGATCCAGCCAGGAGGCAGTGGGAGATGGGATCGTAGAATCTGAGAATGGTTTGGGTTGGAGGAGACCTTAAAGCCCTTTTTGTTCCAACCCCCTGCCAGGGACACCTTCCACCACCCCAGGTTGCTCCAAGCCCCATCCAGCCAGCACTCCCAGGGGTGAGAGGCAGCTGGAAGCATCACCTGTGGGGTGGTGGGAAGGAGTGATTGTCCCCAAGGCATCTCAGCTCCTTGCTAAGAGCTTAAATCCAGGGAGAGAAGTGCTCCAGGGCTGGGATGAGCTCTGGTGGCTCAGGAGCTGCTGCCATGTCTGATATAAGGAGCGAGGCTGGTGGGTGAGGGCAGGAAATGCTGCTGTGGATGTTCCTGCCAAGGGATGCGTGGGAGAGCCAGCAGGGATGCTGAAGTCAGTCCTTGTCAGGTGAAGGATGGGATTGGGGGAAGGCTGGGAATGGGAATTCAGGCTGACAGAACTGCTCAGAGCCCAGAGGTGAAGAACCAGCCCCTGCAGGAACGTGCTGCTGTATTTGTCAGTCAGGTTCTCATCTCAGATCTGATATTCCCTGCTCAGGGATGCTGCCAGCCTGGTGGCACCTCTCCAGGTGGGACGTCCCCAGCACAGCCATGTCACAGACATCTTTTATGAAAAATCCTTTCCTTAGGATTTTTCCTCCTCAGAAGCTGAGAGGCCTCAGGAGCAAAATGTAAACAATGGTTATCTGCTGCTGTGGAATGCAACAGGTGGGTCTGTGATTGGCCAATGTTGGATGTTTCTAATTAATGGCCAATCACAGCCCAGCTGGCTCAGACAGAGAGCCCGAGACAGAGCCTTCGTTATCATTCTTTCCTATTCTATTCTTAGCCAGCCTTCTGAGGAAATCCTTTCTATTCTTTTAGTATAGTTTGAATGTAATATATATCATAAAATAATAAATCAGCCTCCTGAAACATGGAGTCAGATCCTCATCTCTTCCCTCAACCTGAGACCCCTGTGAACACGGTCACACAGCCTGTCCCTAACCCAGGGCTCCTCCTTTTGCAGGTGCCCAAAGGGTTCCCTGCCCAGGGATGCTGCCAGCCTGGTGGCACCTCTCCAGGTGGGATGTCCCCAGCACAGCCTGTCCCTGACCCAGGGCTCTTCCTTTTGCAGGTGTCCAAAGCAGCAGCAGACCTGATGGCGTACTGTGAAGCCCACGCCAAGGAGGACCCTCTATTGACCCCTGTCCCGGCCTCAGAAAACCCCTTTAGAGAGAAGAAGTTCTTCTGTGTGATCCTGTAAACCCAGGAGGAGCCTGACGGGCACTCAGGCCACCCTGAACACTGATGTAGAGTTTTTAGGAATGGGGACGACCTGCTGGTCCGCTGAATTTAAACAAAAATAAGTAAAAAACACGGCCTGGAAGCTACAGAGATGTGCATGTTTAAAGAACCTGGCCACCTTTGGGGGAATCAGATGATCTGCATTGCAAGGCAAAAGATCTGAAGTCTGTAGAGTTGTCTAGAAAGAGAAAAACAAAACAAAAAAAAAAAACCCATGTAAAGAATAAATCTGTGTCACTTTTCTGCTCACAAAATTGTTCGATTGTTCCATATTTAAAGCACCAGAGCTGTGCTGAGCAAAGTTAACTGCTAAGGATGTGTATAACCTTCTTGGAATGGTATTGTTGGTTTCTTTCCGAGCTAATATTTTTGATTTAAGTTGTCAGATATATAGCAGACAGGTTAGGTGGCTGTGCTGTTACTCAATGTTTGGTCTTGTGCTTTTTCATTTCTGGCCGTAGCATAGCGGGGGGGGGGGCGGGTCGAGGGGACACCAGCAGCTCTGTGTCCCCAGCAAACCCCACTTTTTACCATTCTCTCTATGGTTAGCTTTGGTTCTGCAAGTAAAAGTGGTTCCTGTGTTGTGCTTGGTGCTTCCTAGCCCTGTGATGACATTCAGTGGTAGTGCATGAGAGTTTAATTCCGTTCATCCGCTCCAGACTTTTCTTTTCCAGCGTTTGGCACCACGTGCTGGTGGAAGAAGCCGTAGGGAGGGAACAGAGGCGATTCTGAAAGCAAAGAGAGCTCCTGAGATGCCTTAGACGTGCCTGAAATGCCTCCTGCCACAGGGCAGGTGCCAGCCCGGGTGCAGGGCGAGCCAGAAATCCAAAAATCAAAGTCGACCACTTCTTTCCGGGTCTTTCCTTTCTCCTACACCTCTGTGCCTCTGCTCTCCTCGCTTGGTCCTGCTCTTTTCCCAGTTCCTGGTAGCACTTCCTTCCCTTGGGGCTGGTCTGGAATGTTGCTGGGATGCTGCTCAGTGGTGGGATGCTGCTTCAGGGTGGGATTCTGCTCTGTGGTGGGATGCTGCTCCTCCATGGAATGCTGCTCCTTGGTGGGATACAGCCCCACGGTGGAATGCTACTCCAAAATGGGATGCTGCTCCTCCATGGGATGCTGCTCTCCATGGTGGGATACAACCCCATAGTGGAATGCTGCTCCTCCATGGGATGCTGCTCTCCATGGTGGATGCTGCTCCTCCATGGAATGCTGCTCTTCCATGGAATGCTTCTCCTCCATGGAATGCTGCTCCTTGGTGGGATACAGCCCTATGGTGGAGTGCTACTCCAAAATGGGATGCTGTTCCTCCATGGACTGCTGCTCATCTGTGGACTGCTGCTTCTCCGTGGAATGCTGCTCCATGGTGGAATGCTGCTCCATGGTGGAATGCTGCTCCATGGTGGGATGCTGTTCCTCCATGGAATGTTGCTCCTCCACGGAATGCTGCTCCATGGTGGGATACAGCCTCATGATGGGTTGCTGCTCCTCCATGGAATGCTGCTCCATGACAGGATACACCCCCATAGTGGGATGCTACTCCATGGTGAGATTCTGCTCCATGGTGGGATGCTGCTCCTCCATGGGATGCTGCTCCTCCATGGGATGCTGCTCCTCCATGGGATGCTGTCCCACCATGGGATGCTGTCCCACCATGGGATGCTGCTCCTCCATGGGATGCTGTCCCACCATGGGATGCTGCTCCTCCATGGAATGTTGCTCCTCCATGGGATGCTGTCCCACCATGGGATGCTGTCCCACCATGGGATGCTGTCCCACCATGGGATGCTGCTCCTCCATGGGATGCTGCCCTACATTGGGATGTTCCTGCCCCTTCCTGCCCCCACCTCCCCTCCCATTCCCGCTGTCCCCTCCCCACGCTGGGATGGGCCAGGGGAGCAGCCCTGGGAGCTGTGGGGCCGCCCCTTCCCGGAGGTGCCTGATTCCCTGTTTACACACAGCCTGGGCTCCTGCCAGGCTGGGCAGTTATTTCCAGGTCTGCTTCATCTGCTCCCAGCTCTCTGGGGACACATGCCACCTTTCTGGGCTCCTCCTCGGGTCCATGCTTCTGTGGATGTGGCTTGTCTCTCCTTTCTGCTGCTAAACACCTCCTGGATTTCCCCTGCTCATCTGTCCTCCTGGGAACCTTTGGGAACCATCCCTTTGGGAACCATCCCTTTGGGAACCATCACTTTGGGAATCATAATGTGGGGATTTATGTACAAAATGAGCTGGGGGTCACAAAGGGGTTTAGGGGCCTGTGGTGACCCTGCTGAAGCAGTTCTGAATCAGGTGTGAGCTTTTAAAAATTCCTATGGATCTGGGAGGGGAAAAGTCTTTAGGTACCTTTTGGTAACTCTTTCTAGCCCGTTAAAAAAAAGTGCTTTTTTGGTTTTTCTACCTTTTCATACTCTTTTTCTAGTTCTTCTATGGAGAAGGCCAGTTCTTCTCACACTGGACTCCAAACTTTTGGCACCTGGGAATGTTTGTAAGCCACAAGTAGCCTAGATGGTCCCAGCCCCCCCTAATTCCCCCAGTTTTGATCTTTTTACTACAGCTCCCGTAGCTTTAGGATGAAGGGTGGATGAAGTGGTTTGCTCTGCAGCTGGTTTCACTCTTGGTGTTACCAGGCAGAGATGTAAAAACCCCATCCTGAGTTTTGTCTTTTCTTCTGAATCTGATTAATTGTCACAGAGAGTGAAGTGCAGCCGGTCTGACCCGGGGCTCCCACCCCACCCTTTCTCAAACACTGTCACAAAAGTGGTTTGTAATAATTTTTTAATGACTTGCCTATTTTACAACTCGAATTCTTAATACCTTAGACAACAAAATAAACCTGCATGAATATGGGGGAGCGGGGAGGGGGAGATTTTGAATTAACCCAAACTATTCATTGAAGGTGTTTTACGTTGCTGGGCTTGATTTTCTGTTGGTTGTGGTGTTGCCATTGGTGTGCTGCCAGGTATTTCACCCCAGTATTTCTATTTACACAGATCTGCCTTTGTTAGCCAAGCAGAGATCTCCTGCCAAGGTTGTTTCCCCTCCTCACAACAAAAATCCCACCCATCCCTCCATCCCCATGCTGGATTTCCAGCCTGGCCTCAAACCACATTCCACTACCCCCAGGCTTTTAAAGAAAAAAAAAATATCTGGAGTACTGGGAAAAGGACTTTTATTGTCTGCAAAGGTTGCTGGTGGCAATTCTGTCCATGGGTTGTCACCCTGCCAGCAGCAGGATTTGGGGAGGGGGTGGCTGTAGGCGAAAGCCAGTCGTGGTGTAGCGCATCCCCATCCCACATGGTCTGTGTACTCGTTGGAAATAAACTTTTGGATTTGTTTCAAGCCTTTGGAGATGCTGCTCTGTGCCTGTCGAGCTCTGGGGAGGTGGGATCCCATCCTGGTTGTGGTTGGATGCAGTTCCCAAGGGGTTCTCCCTGTCAGGGAGGGTTTAGCAGGAGTTTTGGGCCTGAGGTTTCAGCAGCCCCACAGGATGGGGCAGGTCAGGGGAGAACAGGCTTGTTCAGGGTGGGACATTGCTCCTTGAAATTGAGAGACACCTAAAATCCCCAATTTCATTGCCCATCCCTTCTCCCCTCTCTTTCCTCCTTCTCCCAGCCCTGGCACTCAGCACAGGAGCAAATCCAGAGGAGGCCATGGAGCTGCTCCAGGGGTTGGAGAATGCTCTGGGAGAGCTGGGGGTGCTCACCTGGAGAAGGGAAGGATCCAGGGAGAGCTCAGAGCCCCTTCCAGGGCCTGAAGAAACCTTCTAAAGAAGGACAGATTTTTATAGGGCCTGGAGGGACAGCAAAAAGGGTTTTAATCTTAAAGAGGGTTGGTTCAGGCTCAGATATAAGGAAGAATTTTTTAATGGGAGGATGGGGAGGATCTGACACAGGGTGCCCAGAGAAGCTGTGGCTGCCCCTGGATCCCTGGAAGTGCCCAAGGCCAGGTTGGATGGGGTTTGGAGCAGCCTGGGACAGTGGAAGGTGTCCCTGTGAATAGCAGGGGGTGGAACTGGATGATTTTTAGGGTCCCTTCCAACCCAAACCATTCCAGGCTTCTGTGATTCCATCATTCTTACTCTGGACTACCAAAACACTTCCTGATCACAGAACCAAACATACTCTGCTCCTGCCAAATTCCCCACATCCTGAATTTCCCCTCCAGTTTCACAGGACCCTCAGGGGTGAGTGTTTGCCCACATATTTTGAGGCTGCTTGGCCTCAGCTCATTCCTGGGGTCTGCTTTGGAACTGCTCTGATGGACACAGAAAAGGATGGGGGGGGCTGGGAGGTGCTTGGAAAAACTGGAATATGAGCACAGATCTGTGCTGGGCTTGGTGCTGGTGGTTTTATTTCAGAACCTACAGTGATACCTTGTTCCTCACCACAGGAATGAGCTGAGGCCAAGCAGCCTTAAAATGTGTCAGCAAAAGTGTCCAGCAGTCCCAGGCTGCTCCAAGCCAGGTGTCACCATACATTCTGAAATAAAACCACCAGCACCAAGCCCAGCACAGATCTGTGCTCATATTCCAGTTTTTCCAAGCACCTCCCAGCCCCCCCATCCTTTTCTGTGTCCATCAGAGCAGTTCCAAAGCAGAACCCCATGAATGAGCTGAGGCCAAGCAGCCTCAAAATGTGTGGGCAAACACTCACTCCTGAGGGTCCCGTGAAACTGGAGGGAAAATTCAGGATGTGGGGAATTTGGCAGGAGCAGAGTATGTGATCAGGAGGTGTTTTGGTAGTTCAGAGTAAGAATCATGGAATCACAGAACCTAGAATGGTTTGGGTTGGAAGGGACCTTAAAAATCACCCAGTTTCACCCCCTGCCATTCACAGGGACACCTTCCACGATCCCAGGCTGCTCCAAGCAAGGTGTCACCATAGATTCTGAAGTAAAACCACCAGCACTGAGCCCAGCACGGATCTATGCTGATATTCCAGTTTTTCCCAGCATCTCCCAGCCCCTCCATCCTTTTCTGTGTCCATCACAGCAGCTCCAAAGCAAAATGGTGTCGCTGGGGAGGAAGGAGCCAAGTCTGTCCTGGCCTGCCAGGCAGCTCAGCTGTTCCATGGCTCCCTGGCTCCCCTCCAGCTCCAACACTCTCTCCCTTCCATCCTCACATCCAGCATTTGGCTCTGGAGCAGCATCTGCCGAGCAGGAGGAGGTGAGGAGCTTCCATGGAGAGCGTGGGCGAGGCGCTGCTCCACGCACAGGCCGCAGCCAGGCCCAGCTCCCTAATGAGAATAAACCCATCTGCACTAATTGCATTCATTAGCTGCAGCGGGGAGAGGAGAGGCACAACTCAGCTCCTGGGGATGCATTTGTGCTCCTGCAGGAAGGCTTGGAGCCACCAGGGAACGGGGGGAAGGGCTGCTCTGAGGGTGGGGAAGGCAGGAGGGGTGGAGAGCAGGGGTGTCACTGCTCCATGATTGTCACTCTTGGTGGCACGGACAGTGTGTGACACT